CCTTCAACTTTGAATCTTACTTTATTAAAATACTTATTATAAATACATTCCCGAAACAAGCCTGTAACGCACTGATCTGTAATCTCGGTATATTACCTACTAGCTAATCTCGCGCGGTTCCACCCGCTGCTCTGCTCTATTTGATCGTAGCGTGATGTTTTATAGCCTATAACACTCAGGAACATTGCAGCTAAGAATTTTCGCAATCCGACCAGCGGTTCCAAAGATTTACCCCTACATACAAACTTACAAATTTTACCTCTTTATAATATTAGTATAGATAAGTTTGAAGTCCCCAATCTATCCTGATCTACTGTGGTGATTAATCTTTGTTCTTTTTCCTTGTGAGAAGAGACCTTTGCCCAGTAATGGGATTTTATAGACTTAGTTTTCTAGACCACGATGCTGATGACATACAAAAATTTTAAAAGATTCTGAGTATTGGATTCTGGATATTGTTTATGGTGTTTGGTGTTATCAGCTAAATGTTAGAAACATTTAAAAAGTATTTGATACAGACTCGGAGGATTGCGGGGTAACGCAATGAGGCCTGCGACCTCGGCCTAGAGCTAGAGAAGCAACGGAGGAGTTTTGAGTTAGTAAGAGTCTGACACTTCCTCTCGCCTCACCCTGGGCAGAAGAAGTCGTTGGATGATTTTCCCCTGACAAAACATAATTATGTAGACTTAAAGTGAACCGAAAATATATCGGTTTTATAAAGTTGTCCTTTTTCTATAATCTATATGTTGACTCTACGCTATAGCCAAACTCAAAGCTATTTTTAAATAAACATGGAAGTATAAAACTTTAGAAATGAAAACTTAAAGGAATGATAGACTTTTTAGGCCTATCTATGTAATAGAGTTAAATCAAGCTTTGAACAGATAGCGCCCTCTATTGTTACACAACATGATTAACTGTACCTACATTCTGTCCAACCGCTGCGATTCGTTTCTATCAGTCAGATTCATTCATTAGGTACAGCAGTAAGTTATTATGGTCGAATGTAGATGGCGCTAGTGTAGTATACATCGCGCCCATTTATTTTTTGAAGATAGAATCTTTTTTTTTTCTTACTTGTACAGTTGGTGGTTTTATTCTTTATCTTTATTTTTGATTTCTTTTCTTCGTTTTGAATCGTATTGTAATAGATTAACCATTTAATTCATATTTTATATAAAGAAATAAACCCTTTTGTTGTCGTTCAATATCTAACTAAATCGTAAGGGCCCGTCTATCGTTCTTCGGCCCTGCATTCTATTTCTGGCATCTAAACGGATCGAATTCGAGAGCTATTTATTAGAACAGATAGAGTGTAAATCCTGATGGGCAGACGATGTCATATGTATTAAGTTCAGTGACATATTAACTGACATCTTCCGGAGAGAGCTGATTGACTCCTCATCCTAGTTACTTTCATAACCGGGAGGGGTCCGAACTTAATGTATTCGTGAATTATTTTTGCAAGCATGAGGCTTTTTTGTTGATTGTTATCTGAAATTTGTTCTAATGTGATTTTGAGGGCCTAAGTTTCGCTCAGTGCTATTTTCTTCAGCAGTATACCTACGACACTAGCTCATGATAATAATGATTCAGATCCAGATCATCTAACTTCTGTTCCTCCAATCCCCAAAGGCGTATGTGCACGTGTACCTACTCAATACATTAGGTACCTGTATACCTACTTACGGCTTACAACATGTCTCGTCCAAAGTTTTCACCACTGTTTTGGTGAGAACTAAACTTGAATGACCATTTTTAAGTCCATGTAAAAGAGACGAGTCTATTGCCAAGTATTATAGGACAGAATATTAGGCAGTGTATCACTACAGAGAATTGCTGAAACACAATTTTCGTATTAAGATCTCGTACAACTACTAAACCAAGAAGTCAGACTTTTCCAAAAGTTCATCGAATAAACCCGGCAATATGGCGCGAGCGGTGACAGTGTTTGCGGTGGTGTGCACGACACTATAAACCACTGAGCTAGCGATGTGGTCAGCAAGCCGTTCACATTATTACACGACACTACAACGCTGCCAAGTTCCTTACTGGTTTACGATCTCAAACATAATTTCCGTCCACTACTAACATTGACTAAATGGTCCTTACCTATATTGCGGGGTAAGCGCAATGAGGCACGGCAGCCTCTGCTTAGCACGAGAAGGAACAGGGGTTTTTTATTCGGTAAGAGTCTGACACTCTCTCTCTCGCCTCACCCTGGACGTGAAAAGTCATTTGAAAAACATATCTATTCAGAACTACTAGTAGGTACCTACGCCGTGGATCAGCAACAGAAAGAAATGACCGGTAATTTTTGCATCCACTTTATGAGAAATTTAGTATGTACGGACGTCAACTATCAAAGAAGCCCGTAAAGGAAACATCTACCCTTGCCAACGGGTCATTAGAAGGGTGTTAAACGTCTGAAGGTACGGAAGTGGCCCCTCCAAGACGACCAAACGAAACGCTAGGACACAATTTCCATTGCCTCGTAACGTTTTGATAGACCAATACCAAAAATACCAGTAGTTTGGATGAACTTGCTAATAAGCCGGTCAGCAAAGTTAAAGTTAATAGAGAAATTGATTGAATAAGGAGTCATCTTAGTAATATTATAAATGCGAAAGTTACGATGTTTGGATGTTTGTTACGATCAATCACGCCAAAACCTCTGGATGGATCTGGATCAAAATTTGGTACAGGCATAGGATACACTCCGGAATGGGACATAGGCTACTTTTTATCAACATATCACGTGGGCGAAGCCGCAGGCGGAAGCCAGTAGTCAATAAGACAGCAGTCGATTATGAGGTCGGAGAGGTATTTTTACTATGGCAAATGTTTACAACTACTTATATACAATTTATCATCTACACGCTCTTTGCTCAAAAATACGTCTCATGAGATGACAGTCAGTGTATTTCCTATCAGATGACAAAAAAAAATCCCGTGAGATTCGGTTGCACAAAGATTTTTGCGTCTGATATTTGATACTTGTGTTATACTATATACTTAAATAAGTATACAGGTATGTATAGATTTTGTATATTAGTTTACCCAATAAATTAATGCGTGAGCTTCTTTACTTACTTTTTACTAGCTTTCGCAATTACGCTATATATTTTTCAGTTTTGTTTAGTGTGCTAAATATCGTCTACCTATTTTAGGTCTTATAAATGTTTCATGTAACAAAAAGTTTAAAAATAAAACCCAAATACGACAAAAAACGACGACTCTGAAAAAGTATGAAACAATATTTTCAGAATACTGAAAGGCGTAGTCACACGTTGCCGAAGTGCTACGGTAGGCATATGTTAGGTGTAGTTGGTTTTTTAGGTTTTACATTTTTTGTTATTTGTATTCGTTGTATACATTTCAAAGCTTCATTAAAAACATCTAAAAAACATGCTAACCTATAACTTCTTTGACGTCAAACAGAATAGCAAAATTGAATCTCTTGAACTAACGAAGTCTACCTTGAACTAAATTATTAGGTAGGCACATTGAAAGCGCAATGTATTCAATGCAGATCTTCTGGTTCTCAGATTCAGTTCCTGACGTTAAATCACAGATAGATCTCCCTCTCGGTCAGTGTCGCATCTATTTTTATCAACACGTGTTACATCGACGAAATTACTGCGCCAATCTTTCCGTCTTATAATTAGGGACACATTCAATGTGTACGGAAAATTACAATATTTATTGAATTTCTTGGTTATTTTTTTTTATTTTATTTTCTTCATTCGCCTATTGTTTAGCTAGCAACGATATAAGGATTACTTCTCACAAAAAAAAATTAAACAATATTTGTAGTAATAAAACTTAATAATAAAGTTGGTTGCTGTATATAGTTAATACACAAATGAAGGTAAATAATATCAATTAATTAGGAATAGGTAATAATAGTCCAAATTACTAGAGCATAATATATTCTAATTAGAATTAGGTATAGATAGTGCGTATTAGTATAACATTAGGGTCAGTATACGCAGGTAGTGAGGCATGAACCGCGGATGGAAAGGAAACCTAATACCCACGGAAGCCACTGCCATGTCAAATCACCTACATACTTAATACACACGTAGATATTTCACCACGCACACGTAGGAGGACACGTTGTAATTCCAATTTAACGATAACACCAACCCACGAACAGTCTGTCGGAAACACAATTTTTACTAAATATGTACATACTTCCTTTATTCATCATTTCAGCCATATAATACTTCTTTTAAAACACTTATCAGGCATATTGCATTCTTCTCTTTATTGTCTAAGTACATTACAGGCTCGATATTCTCTTTATTGTTTAAGTAAATATTATTAGTAACTAGCAGAGAGTATGAGAAATTCTGCCTAAGAATAATAATTATAAAACAATGCTATCTCGATAATTCAAGTTCAGTGCAAGTCGCTATTTAAAATGTGTAACATCGAGTCTTTCGTTTGACTGCTCTCGTTAATTAATTGGCAAAAATCGATTACTTTAAAGTCGTATTTTAACGCAATGACACATAATTGTTTGATAAAATTATTTCGTAATTTGCTGTAGATTGTTAGTTCATTTTTACGTAACTAATTAGTTCTTGTAATCATACCATTAACTGATGTCCTGTCTAGGCAATTAAATGGCCAATAGAATGTGGTCGGTCATTGGTGATCCCTTGACAATTGAATATTGAGTATAAAGGACTAGTTGTCTTATACTTCTCCTCGGTATAGGGGCTAATTTGATGTCACACAAGTGGAGTGCTCCATTCATAGCACACGCGCTCGCCCTCGCTCACAATACCATACAAATACTTCAGCAAATAAATTAAAATAAAGCATTAAACTAGTGTTTTTGTGTACAGATGTGAAAGTGTGATATTTAAAAAAAACATTGTGTGTGACAATCGCCGGTGACAATCGAATGTGATAATTTTTTGACGATTTTTTTACTGTTTCGATTAGTGTACATATTTAAAACATATAAAACAAATATTATTAAATAAAAAATGAGTGTTAAATATGGAGCCACGGATGTAGACAGTAAAACAGAAGAGACCGACAAAGAGGCGACCACCGAAGTTGAGATCAACTTGAGGTAATTTACTTGTTAGCATTCCTTATCACCGGCCGTTTATCTAATCCGTTCGAATTCAGTTCAGTGCAACTTATCCAATTAGTGACAAACCGAACTGAATTAAAGCAAGTGAAGAAAATTGTCCGGTTCCCATAGCGTTCAGCAAAACACCTTTAACTACACATTTCCCCTTTACGAAGAATATCCTATAGTATCCTTTCTTAGCCAATTTGATTAAATTACTACTGAGTTTCATACGATCCAATCGGATGACAATTGCAGTAAAATATAAACGATTACCTGCAACGATTCGAGCATGGTTTTTGTAATTCATAATAATTGATTCTTGTACGAGGTTAGGCACACATTTATTGAGCACAGTAGCACTAATGCTTCATACGGCTCTATAACTAAACCAGTTTTTATAACAGTGACGTTGACTATTCGAGGCATCATATGTGTGCTAGATTGTAGGTAGATACCAAGTATTGAACACTAAGCCTCATCGAGCTCTCAATGGTGCCTACAACACAGATGTAGCGACTATACCGAGCTGCTATTGTGTATTTTCTCTTCGCACACAATCGTTGCGAACATAACAAACGCGAACCAAGTTTTTAGTAAACTCAGGTTATGTTTATGTAGCGATCATCTTCTGATTGACATGTACTTATCTTATATGTAACTTAGTATGGGAGAGCCATGCTTTGGTACGAATAGGTCGGCTAGACAAGAGTGATGCCACGGCTTGACAGAAGGACGGCGTGATACAACCAGAGCGTTGTGTTTCATCGTATGAGTGAGGTAACCAGAGATCCACTACACCCACCATCTCTAATTCTAGAAATTCTCTATCTGCATAGGATACATCATATATCAAATTTCTAACCCAAAAGATCGACAACTCACTCGTCACTGCTCCTTGTGAGTGACTGTCTATGAGCGTAGCTGCTTGCTTATCATCAGGCCAGCAGACCGCTCGTTTGCCGTCCTATCACAAAAATAAACTTTAGGTCTTAACAACAAGGCCTCTCTTATTTAGTCTCCCTTTAAAATTATCATATTTAGTTTCGATTTTTTATCGTGATCTCAAGAAGTTTCTACTTTGCACAGGTAATATTCCTTAACTTTTCAGGTGAATTTGCTATTTTTTTTTTAAATAAAACGCGAATAATGAAGCATTTAAAGTCTAAGTCACTTATTCCAACTAAACCATAAAACTTTTAAATGTCAAAGGAATGGAAATGTGTCCCATGAGTTCGAAGGCTTCCATGAGTTCTGTTGGAGATCTGTTTTTTTACACAGATTTAACTATAGGTACAGAGTATTTTACAATAAATGGCAAAAAGGCGGGTTACCCGCGCTGTATTTAGATAGATTTAGATGCTTTTTCAGAATGTCTCCAACTAAGTATTTCCACTCTTGCTTTCAAAAACACAATTGCCACAAGGCTATTTATTACCTGTTTATCTATTGCTTTCTATACAAAATTGCGTTTATCAAAACCAAATAAGTATAACTAATTTTTATTAATAATATTTTTTTGTTGTTATAGTGGGCCCTTCAAAAGAAAATGGTGGTGGGTCAGTCAACACGTGCTTTTTGGGCTCGGCCATGTCTACAACGACCTTTGTGCAGCCATGTGGTTCTCCTACATGATGCTGTTCTTCCAAGCAGTGCTGGAGATGAGATCTGCAGTTGCTGGTGCTATGCTACTTTTAGGTAAATTATTGAAAACTATTATTGCATTCGTACATTATTCACACATCCAAAACACTTGGTAAAAGAAATGGTGGAAATCATAAATTTCATTTCATTGAAATAATCACAAAAACGCAAGTTTTATCGTTAAACTATCTGTTCAAATTGTCGGATCTGCAGATTAGGAAGAAAGAAAGATAGAAAGAATTTAAAAGATTAGTTACTATTCCTAAAGCTTCAAATCACTTGGATACGGGTTGGTAGTGTACATTCAAGTCCTTCATTTTTGCAAGTGTCAGCACCAAATATTTACTACCAGGTGACACGACTGCTCAATATGTCCCATAAAAATCATTATCAGCATTTTAGTGCAATAACACTTTACAAGTCAGATAAATCGTACACGTAAGAATGTTTTCAGCAATGTTATTTATGAACAAAGGACCTTCCTATGTAACAACATTCTTAACATACCGACCATAGCAATAAACAATAGAAAAATAACAATAAATTACATAATATTTTTTTATTGTTAACAATTTTCTTTTTTCTTTTCTTCAGTGGAAATTATTTGTGTTATTGTTTTTTTTTTTATTAAAAGTATGTGTAGGTGTGCCTACATTATTTTATTTACATACATATATCTTTATTTATAAATTCCAGGTCAAGTCATAGATGCCCTGGCGACTCCAGTCGTTGGCATATTAGCTGATAAATTTGGAAGCTTGAAATCCTGGCATTTAACTGGTTTGTATTTTACCTATTACCTACATGTAGATGATATCATGAGCATTCCAAGGGCTTATACCTACTTCTGAAAAATATCTGGAAAGGATCCTAGTTAAACAAACAATCATACTGCAAGCAATTAGACCCAAAAATGGCTCTATTTATTTGTCAATGTTTTGTACTTGTTGTCTCGAATCAAATTTCAATATTGCGTGAAATAAGGCCTTGATTATCATGTTGCTACTAATACTTTATACTTAGATCTCCCCTGCAGTTGATAATGGGCTTTCAAAACATCTTTTGTGTGCATTGTCACCTTGCAGCTACTGTAGATAATTAGACGACTCTGTTTATCAAACACGAATCATAGGATTTTAGGTGCAACGTCGAAATCGTCTAGGAATGCTCACATTGTTCTTTGTGTAACAACTTTGTATGGAAATGAGCGCACCATAAGATATATAAGTAGTATGACAATTGTTTAACTTCAATACAATGCGTATCTAACTTCATCAAAGCGTTGAATAGCCGCCCGCTTGATTAAAGTGCTCATAATTACAAAAGGCAACGTATTTTGTTGTTTCTTGGATAAAACTCCTAAAATATGTGTTATTTCTCTTGCATTTTTTTTCGAAGGACAAATCGAAATATGGAGTAGCTATGTACCTACGCTTGTGTACCCCTGTTTCTGTATTTGTTGTTCTATTTACTTTACGTGTGATGTGTATGAATAAAAAAATATATAAGAACGTGCTTTCATTGCGACAATTGGCGTCACTTTTGAAAAATACACACAGTAAAAATTAAACTGGTTGTTAATTAATCGATCAGTTTCACAGTAAAGTTACTTGCTCCTTCTGAAGCGTGTTTTGATAACGATTATAAATCTTAATCGTTTACATGTACCTACTTAGCTGAGTACTCACTCACCTGTTAGATACCTATGTACGAAAAGTTGTTCCATTCAATTCTCTCACATTATATTATTTTTACATTGTTTGGACTTGAAAAGAGTCTACTGAGTTTGTTTCGGCATTTCTTCTCAAAGTAGTCAGATAGGAAATGCCGGCTTCACCTAGGTAGTTTTTTCCATATAATTTGACGTGTTTTATGGCCTATTTGCAAAAATATTTTCATTGTTTTGTTCATTGTTGCCCACGTTATTCCGTTACGAGTACGAGTACATGGTTTCATTGTAACCTAGTTATTAAATATAAAAAAATAGGGTTGATAGGTTTTTTCGTTATTTCAGGTTGTGCCTTAGTAACGTGTACATTTCCCCTACTCTTCGTACGATGTTGGGGTTGCTGGTTGACGGAGGATCCTGACTACCTAGACTGGTGGATGCCAGTCTATTACGGCGTGCTGATCGTGGTCTTCCAAATAGGATGGGCTATTGTCCAGATATCCCATCTCGCAATGATACCAGCTATATCCGACAATCTTCAAGTACGAGCTGATTTGACGTCTATCAGGTAATTTGTTTGAAATGTTTTATAAGTAACCTACCAATACGATCACCGTGAGACGGGCATGGTCACCATTTCCTTAATTTCGGAGACGAGAGGGACATATGTACCGAGGTTTTGAGATCACCTGCCGAGCTTTATATCCAAAGAAGGTCCGATTACAGGGATAAAGAGAGAAAGAAGTTATAACTAAAGAATAAGTAGTTTGTTTCTTAAACATCAGATAAGGCTTGGGGACATAAGCCAGCTTCTGATGTAACACACCTTTTTTAACTATTGCAGAAACGCAGACACGCCGTGTTGTTTTTTTCGGTAGGAGTCCGACTCTTCCTATACGACTTTTACTTTGCTAGCAATGGATGATGAGAAGCTTACCAGAGCCTTGCCAGAGTCTGTGTTCCCCGAAGAGTATAAATCTGGGTGTCTTCAAGGCTCGAGTGCTCCGTCATCGGGTGCATCAACGCTTACCTCCTCCGCTTGGTGGCCGACTAAAGACTAAAACATGCATAAAAATCGGATTCCAGATATATGGCGTCAGTGACCTCAAGTTTGGCTGTGTACCTAATAACTTGGGTTGTGCTGAGGGCCAGCAACTACAGCACTTTTATTGGACCAATGGATGACTATAAATTTAGGGTAAGCCTTAATAAAAACCACCTACAATAACATAATAGACAATATCAGTAGTCCTTTTACAGTATCAGTAGTCCTAACATCGGGGTTTTTAAATAAATATTCATGTCATGGCAGATACTTACTTTCAATTAAATGCTCTCACCTTAATGACTGATATTAGTTAGATGTAATCAACTTATCATTAAGATGCAATTACACAATGCAACGTATCGTGCGACACGAGTAATAGCTTATGATTAAGTTTCTACTTAATGTGATTGACAATGTAGCAAACCATCATTCCCTCTAAACCTTTTTCGTGAGGCGAAAATCATCAACAGGCGTCTCTCGTCCAGGATATATGAGAGGGAGTGTTAGACTCTTACTGACAAAAAACTCCCCCGTTCTTTCTCCTGCCTAGGTACCTATTTAATTGTCAATACGCATATGTATGGATCTGATAGGTAGGTGTACCTACCTACCTACCTACCAGGTTCTAGCTGTTTTTGCGTCTACCAAGCGACAAGGGATTTCTAGGACATTAACCTACTTACAATAGTAACTTACTACATAAAAGATTCTATTTTTTTTCAGGGTGTATCGCTGATCATCTCTGGCATCGGAATAGTGTCCTTCCTTCTATTCCAAATATTCTTCAAATTAAAACCTAAAAAGGAGGAAAAAGCGAATGGCCACGCCGTGACCAATGGCCATAACGGCACATCGGCTTCAGTGCAAAATGAAGAGAGTGGTACTCTAGAAGTCGCCAAGTCGAAAATTATGTACTTTCTTCGTATGCCGCTTTTGTACCAAACTAGCTTATTGTAAGTACCGTGCCAATAGGCGAGCTTTACTTTATTGTTTTGTAATAAAGCAAGTTGATTAGGTACTTTAGCGAATGAATAAAAGACAGTTATGGCCAAAAAGGTTTGGTTTATCTAGATTCCTACGAACGAAGACGAACAGTCTTTGTTGTTTATCTGAATTAATACAATATTATAGTCTACACCACTCAGGAACATTGTAGCTATCTATCAGTAAAATAATTTTGGCAATCCGACCAGTAATTCCAAAGATTACCCCTACATAAAAATTTGACTAGCTGACCTGGCAAACTTCGTACCGCCTCATAATTAACTTAAGTTTTCTGACCTTTTAAACCTTCCCTGGACTTCTACGAATAATTCAAAACCAAAATTAAATCGGTAAAGGCATTGTTGAGTTACAACATTACAATGGAAAGTGGCATTGATTTTGATATATGTATATAGATCATAACAATTGTTCCCTGTTTTATCAACTGAAAACTGAATACAGGAAAGAAGACCATAAGCTAAATTAACGCCATCTGGTGGTCACAAAATCGATAGTCATTGGACTATACTCACATTAAATAACTTAATTGTTTTTTTTTATTTCAGATATGTGTTCTCCCGGTTATACTGGGCTCTAAGTTTAGTCTACGTACCGTTGTTCCTAGAAGAACGCCTCGTCTTCAACCCTAGCGCCGGATCGGAGCTAGTAGCCAGTGTACCTCTAGTCCTATACATATCCTCATTCTTCTTTTCATTACTTCTCAAGAGTAAAATCAATCGATTTGGAAATCAGGTGATTATAAGTCTTTTTTAAAAGTACTACGAACATCACCCTAAGTATTTAGGAAAAAGCGGGAAGTGGGAAAAGTGTGGGAGACCCATGCTTTAGCATGAATAGGTCGACCGAATTTATACAATGGTCTCGAAAACTGCGTAAGATAGGGTAAAAACCACAGGGTATGGCATGCCGCGTGTGTGAGGTAACCGGGCGCCCAATTCTTCCCAATTCCAAAGTCCCGAAAACCTCGGTTCCCCAAAAAGAGCTGGCAGCCCATTTGAAACTCCTCTTGTGTTGCGGGTATCTATGGGCAGCACCAATAGCTTATCATCAGGCCCTTTTTTCATAAGTCGGCAAACGAACAGACGTACACCTGATGGTAAGCAATCAGCGCCACCCATGGGCACTCGTAGTACCAAAGAAGTTCCATCATATCAGGTAATCCGTCTGCTCGTTTGCCGACCTATTACATAAAAAAAATGCAAACTTTAGGTACACAACATATATAATGTTTTATGTTCTACCCACCTCCCTATTGCCACACCTGGCGCAAATTTCAGACACTGTGCTGTTAGATGCTTACCGAGAAATTCCTTAAACCGAAAACGACCCATAATTAATGAAATCGCGAACCGATTGTGTCGTTCGTATAATATTCTTATGTATTTACATGACGCTAAAAAAGGTTTGAAAAAATAAATAAAAATTCTTCCACAGGTGGCCTATCTAGTAGGAAGCTTGCTAAGCCTGTTAAGTTGCCTATGGATAGCGATAGCCATCGACCCACATGCCAGTATAGTACAAATATACATGGTCGCTACTCTAATTGGTAAGTGATTGATAATATATGCTGTTGTAACTAACTCCATTAAAATATTATTCGGTGCATAAATGGCAACATAACATCTTTAAAAATGTTTCGAACAAGTTGATCACTTATTGCACTATACTCAAAGGAGAGTCTATTGCCGTAGACCGATAACAATTCCACGATTACGCTGCTTATGACAATTTTATAAAAATCGGAAAAATAACTATCTGTAATTAACACCCGGACCAAAGAACTGAATCACGTGACCGACCATCAAGACCACGAAACAGCCAAGTACCTACCAATAAGACTAAAAAAGCAATACGATTTTTTAACCCTATATCTACCTACCTACTTGTGATAAAAATGAATGAATTTACATTTCCAGGTGCTGGCAGTTCAATAACCCTAGTATCCAGTCTTTGTGTGACTGCTGACTTGATCGGCCCGCACTCTCACCAGGGAGCCGCCATTTATTCCATTGTCACTTTTGCTGACAAACTCGTGACGGGGATAGCAGTAGTCGCCATTGAAAATTTGTAAGTGTTTTTTATAGGATAGACAATAACTTTATAAGGGCAGGATTGGCAAAAAAAAACGCATTTTTCTTCTCACATTTATTATGGAACACAACAGTTTTTGTGTTCATAAATACATAGGTAATATGATCGACAGTGAACTGCAAACATCTCCCTACTTATGCTATAATACTTAATTTTTGTATTGCCAGACATTAAAACTCAGTTTTGTGTTCAGATAATGTGCCTGCGAAACCACGAGCTTATACGAATAAAAAAACTGTAGATAAATTCTTTACCCGATACGTAGGTACTCAAGAAATAAGATAGTATATACCTTCTAAGGCATTTTATTTCACTATTACATACAAACACATTATAAATACAGATTTCTTAAAGTATATTCTTGCCCTTAAGAGCTTAGGATTTACAAATAATCCTTACAAAGGAATGTCATTAACTTCTTAGACATCTTTAAGTATTTTAATATCAATCTGTAACTTGAAACATAAGTAAGTACACAGTACCTACCGATACAACCCCTTCTCCCATTTTCCCCGAAAGAAAGCAGTTACCAATTTAATATCTATATACAATTATACATAAAACAAAACAATTGAAGAAATGAAACTTTTCCTAAAATGGATGTTGTAAGCACCTGACCTACCTAGATAACATTACCTACAATTAATCACACTTGTGGAACAGTCGAAAATAAATCACACTTTTGGCATAGCAGCTGGGTACTGATCACTACGTATACCATGTAATACCGCCAAATTCCCATGGTAACGATTTGGTAAATGACCTGACCGATTATGGCCAAGTTATATGTGTCGTTTGGCCAAGTACCTATCCCTTTTTAAATAGCATTAAACTTCTAACTTTAAATTGTAACTACCATTAAATTGTGGGTACTTACATAAAATTTAATTAAACATTTTTAACAAAAAATATTTATATATTTAACGCCTATCTATATGACTAGATAATACATAGATATTTAATAACAATAAAAGCTTTGCTACAGTGTGTTCAGTAATGTATAAGTGGAGCTTATGGGGCATCTGTAAGCCCTACTCTAATTATTTTATTAAATTATTAAACATCCAATAATCGGGTGCAATTGAATTGAAAAGTCTAATATTAGATTAGATGTTACATCAACACTTTATTCAACAGAGATATTTTTATTTATTATATACTTAAAGATATTTATGGTATCGATTACTTTTAAATATATCAGTATCAAATATACATATATATATACTTAAACAAATCACTAATCACTCACCATTAATAGTTTTTTTGTTTGAATACCGTGTACATAACACGGTATTCAAACTTTGACATGTGTTTCTCAAAGTTTAAATACCTTTCGAAAACCATTTTGCATATTTGTTGACTGTTTTTTTCCAAGTCTGTACATTAATTACTGATTAATACTTTAAGATTCTATTTCGATAGAGGTTTTAATGACAATATTGTTTTCTGTTTCAGCAAATGCGACAATGAGTTAAATTGTCCACAATACTACAGGGCAGTCTTAACATATGCTTGTGGTGGAAGTGCAGTCCTCGGCATGTTATCATTATCATTCGTAAAATTTATGCCTGGACACAAAACTGAACAGGATTTATAAAATTGTTAAATATAAGTAATATTACTATTTATTAGGTGCCTATGATTCAATCTGTGTACATATTACAAAATATTGTAAAATACTAAAGATATGTTTCCAGATACAGTAACGGGAATCTCAGTGGTTAAAATAAAACTAAGTAGGTATATGAAATATGGGGGGCTTGCCACTGTCGGCCAATTTACTGGTTTACTTGCAGTATTCATTATCTATTTATTTATTTAAAGATTATAAAATATGATTGTGATTGAATCATGAAGTTAAGTGAGTTTGCTATTAAACCAGAAAAAAATATTTATGTTGGTTTTATTGGATTTATTTGAAACACTTCCAGGAATGGATCAAAATTGTACTTAAATGGGAAAGGCTGGACCTCAAAGTTAACTGCAACTTTAAGATGTGGCCTCTTTCTTGTTGATCTGGCTTTATTAAACAACTGCAACTGTTTTTTTAATGATGTGGCATCAAATAATGCTTCTATAAAAATACTGTTTAACTTAGTACAACATTTAACTAAGTTGTCTGGATCTGCAATTTTATTATGATCCCATTGTTTTAGATCAACTAAATTAATATTTTCTAAAGTTTTACACTCACTGAGTGAATCAAATATGGTTTTAAAATCCATTCCCTTATCTACAATACGTAAATTTTTTAAGGATTTGCTAGTTTTTATAGCACGACATATAGCATGGTAATACCCTCGTGATGCAAGATTAGGACATTCCACTGACAAAGTAGCTAAATTATAGAAATTCTGGAACAATATTGAAAAGAATTCAGAATGATAATTTACAGCTCCACCACTTATACTAAAAAATGTTATTTTCTGAAAATAATCAGCATATGTTGGTAGCAATATTGCAGACAATGTTTGAAATTTAAAAGCTATACTAAGTTGGGCCTTGGATTTATGTAACAATACATGGTCAAAATCTAGCACTACAGTGGGAACTAATGTTTTCCTTCTTTTACCCTCCTTTGAAGAAGGTTCTCCCATATCAATAAGACATGGCGTTGGCTCTGTGAAGATCCAGTCATAATTGGGTGGACAGATTGCTTGACTTGGTTCCTTATAATAAAAAGGAAAGAATGGCTTGACTCGTTTATACAATCTATTAAAAAATATATCATCAAACTCTGTTGTTTCTCTTTTCCATATCATTAAGGCAACATTACCTACAAGATTCCTGGTATAATCCGTAACTGTTTCTACTTTAACATTAAAATGTTTTGTGAAAAATTCACATAATTTCGGTGAAGCACTAACAGATACATCATGAATATGCACTGTAGATATTACAAAAAATTCATAATCTTTCAAATCTAATGCTGCAATAACAGGGAAATTTCTGAGAAAGTCATATGTCCTTTTAGCTCTCCAATCTACCAAGAAGAGTGCTAAATGATTGAAGCTTGGACCAACACAGGCTGTAAATCTTTCTACAAGTGACGTGTTCATGTGATCAAACTCAACAGCACTCAGTTTTATTGTATCTAACTTTGCTTTCTCCAACATATAAGCAACTGTTCGAGATAATAATAAATTAGTTAATGATCCAACAAAATGAACATTTTCAAAGTGACTGAACAAATCCTGATACTCTGTTAAAGTCTTTTCATCAATTCGAATAATTGGAGACCTTCCAAACACAAAGTTTACAGTAACATCCTTCAAACTGGGACACACTTTTACTATTTCTAGTAAGTCGGGAATATTTAGATTTGTGTATGAAATATCCAATGTCTTCAGGCGCTTTAATCTTTTAAAAGCTGGCAAAATTAATTTTATTGAGTTTAAGTCAGGAACACCTTGCATGTTTAGCTCTAACAGGTTTGCTGAAATTGTTTTGAAGAAATTCCTTTTCAATACATTCACAGTAGCCATTTTGTTCATAGACATACTGCATTGTGAGATCCCACAGTTAGAAAGTAGATATCTAAAATACTGGCTAGTGTTATACAAATTCTGCTGAGCTGGGAGATCTAGTAGTTTCACAATCATGAACAGTATTTCTTCAGGAACATCTGTTATGTGTGCCATTGTGGCCCTGAAAAGAATATTTAAGTCTCTTCATTTTATAATACAAATCAGTAAATATTATAAAGATATGCTTTGGGAAAAGTCCCATTGGGAAACTGGACATAAGATGTAGGTAATAATATCAGATTAGAATACAGCCTTATATAGAATAATGGATTTACGTCGTTAGATTACGAAGTCTAACATGTTTTTTATCACAAAACGATTTAAATAAATATATATATTAGTTTTATTTATTAAATAAATTTTAATACTTACACAAAAATATGTGCAGCCGGACTTAATGTCTTAGGGATTAGGGGTCTAACTGTTGACCTTTAGGTGGCTGATGACTATACATACATGATTACAAACATTGTATTTATATAAAAATGTTAATTTCTCCTTGTTATCATAAGGTAGATATTATTAATAAAATATCATATTGAATTGAAAGCTTACCGATTAATATTTTTAGTTAAAGTAAATATTATAGAAATATAGTTCTACTAAATTCTATGCAATAATAGCGGTTATTCTGTAAACAATATATCGTACATACGAACATAATTTTCGATATTTTCCCACAGATGTGAATGTTTTTGACATTGACACTATGAGATTCAAATGACAATGACAATAATGGCACCTACAATGTTATTATCTAGAAAATATATTTTTAAAATTAAATAATAAGTAATGATATCTTCCAGTTTTGTTGACCTTCTGTAATTACAAATGTTTGATCTAAAAATATTTATCTTATTTATACTACTTTCAGGAACCAGTTTTGCAGACCATAGAAAAGTCAGATTGAAAAGTCATATTTACATCTTTTACATACAGTAAAACGGTATTCACCCCTCAAATTCTATTCACCCCGTTTTACTAGAAGCTCCTTCCAATATTAGAGATTGGCAAAGGAACAAGGCAACTTTTTTAAAACAAAGAAGTACAGTGAAATTAACAAATTTTGTTGTGAAAAAGAGTTTATTTTACGAAAACAACAAAAATCTTGTTTTTCGTAAATAGATACTGTATAATATATTACCTTAAACCTTTTTAAGATTATAAATTTGATTTCGTTAGTTTTAATAAATATAATAATATATAAAAAGGCATAATCGCATAAGCGTTAACTTTTATTGTAATTTATGATAGAGTAGAATGACAAGTATCTTATAATCTTAATTGCTCGTTTGCGCTTTTATTATGCTCGTTAGTATAAGTCACACTTACATTACACTATTTTTTACTCCAATAAGTTATTAAACTTCACTGTTCCTAAAAACTCCCTGTTCCTAAGAACTCACTGTTCCTTGAACTACTCATAGCTACTAACGTGCACGTGGTTTATATTTTAACCGGTGGTATATTTTAACCGTGGTCTATATTTCTTTAACCATTTATCTAAACTGCTAATGCTTAGATTGGGCAGAAGTACCAGTTCACATTAATTTTTAGGCAAAATAAAAAATAATATCAGGTGAAAGGTGGATGTACAACTGTACATTGCTTAGGTATGTATTTGGCATCATGTACCTACCATAAGGCTCACATCTGCTTAGCACGTAGGAGATAAAAGGCGCGAAAGTAAAAATACATGAGAAAAGGTATGGGTGTGAATTTAATAATGAACTCAAATGCCATGAAAAATATTCTTTCTAAGGATCGTCATACAAACATCAGCCTACAGGAGACCACTGCTTAACAAAACTCACACGAAGTTGGCTTGCCCATTCAAGAATTAGATATATTAAATTTAGAATTAAAAATAAGAAGAAGTTTATGATTCCATAAGATGTATGCCTTCACAGTGATATCTAAATTAAGTTTAAAAATACATATAACTTGAAAAAGTCACATTGTACTTGCTAGGTTCTGAGTCCGCATCCTCACGCATGAGAAGCAGACGTCCCTCTGGTCTGGGCCACTACGACACCCCCGCTGTATAATCAAAGGGAATAATGCAATACCCCAACACCTCATTGTCTGCTGCATGAACATATTTTGTTTTATATTATAAGGTTAATAATCTAAGTATTTTGTGGATCGAGACTTAATTATAATACTTGTTCCATAAGCAATAGTACGATCTGAACTACTATCGAGAATTTATGCTTTTCTGTTTACAAAAGCGGAAGTGGCATTTGTGCAGTTGGTAATTTGTATTAAGTCACTAGTGATGTACAGCATTTAATATTTGTCATGGTAACAGTCATCTCTCGATTAGTAGATCATTGACTCGAATATGTAACAAGAATACATTTTTATTTTTGTCGTAACGGATGACATTTTACAATTTTTTCAAATTTCTAATACTTTGATCCACTTATTTTTGTTTGTTTATTTTTATTAATTATCTTCAATCCTGCAATGCTATGTTATAGCTTATTCATACATCTGCTTGTTTTATTCATTTATTTTCATAAACCTTGCTTGCCTGATTACCTTTATTACTCTCTCCACTGCATAATAAATAAATAATTTTAATTCCAATCTATATACTTTATAATGATTTGTATTTTCTCGTCAAATCGATTTATTGTGCTTTTATTTTATGCGTTGGACCGAATAAGTAAGTTAAAAATACAACCCTAAAAACAAATATTATAAATTTTGAACATTTATTGTGGGAAGAATAATATTTTAAAACTTAGTTTAATAATAATTGAGAAAAATATATCGACTTAAATGAATCATGTCATTTTTTTCGATACATAGCATCCCTACAAAGATTATTTCGTCAGGCAGCTGGCAGATGGCAATATGGCTGTAGCTTTCGAGTTTCGCTGGCAGTGCGCGGTGCTCGCATCATTTCCAGTACTGAAGTAGTATTTCTGACGGCTCTAAAGTTTCGTTTTTTAATTTTTTAGTGGTTATTGTCTCTGTTTACCTTTAATTATCTAATGTTTTGTGGCAAAATTACTGTTTTTTCATTTCCGTCGTCACCAGAATTTATTCGACGACAAAATGGCGTCGCTTGACAAGATTTTACTGCAAAATATTTTTTCGCATTTTATTCGCTTATCATAAAAATATGCCGGAAAAATTAATTTCAAGTGTTTTCTTAACATTTTTCTCGATGAATTATTCTGTTTTTCTCTGTTTCGGTCGTTAATTATATAAGAAACCGTGTATTCCTTGAATTTACTACAAAATGCACCTGGTAAGTGATTTTAAAGCTTATTTCTTCATTGTTTTTGTGGATTTGTTTATTTTGTTATATTTTAAATGGCTAAAATAATCATGGAACGTTCTAGATGCCTTGGGTGTGGCCCCGAAAAAGGCTGAAATTTTGAGACGTAATACTGAATTTGAGGGTTTTTGTGATTGTTTACAATATATTTTGCTGTTTTTATGTATGAAAACATTCTTGTCCCACGCAAGAAAGGGTTTGCGATGATTCTTTGTTACGTAATCTACCCGTAACGCGCAGAGAAAATTATTTTGAGATGGGCCCCTATTTTACAATTTATCTTTGAAAATTGGTCTTGTAGAGCACTGCATCTCAAGACACTATCATTTGAGGTTATGTTACTCATTTGTGTTCAATTTCCACCTTTTCCTGTGTATAAATTGGGATAAATTCATTGCCCAGCACCTGTCCTCAAACACATTTAAATATGTTTAATTTTTTAAAGATTTGTTCATTTATTGCATCCAGTTGCAGTAATTTGAGGTTAACTAGACTGTTGTTTATTTACATTTCATATTATAGTCCTGAATTGTCAGAGCCAGTGTAACTAATTCTCATTCTTGTTATGACAAAATAATTTGGCCAGATTAAAAAAAGTGTTTTTTTCAGGGGGTTGTTAATTTTTGTACTCATATAACGATTTAGAGCTAAGGTTTACAGGTTTCAGTCTAAAATACATTCAAATCATAATGATAATTTGGTGCTGACTTCACATTCTTTATCTTATTTACTTATTTATAATTGTTTTTATTTATTTATTTAAATTGTATTGATCTGTTATTATTTTGTAAAAGTACAAACTAAAATTAAATCTGACAATAGTGATACATAACAATAACAATGAAGTTTTCAGTGAATTTGATTTTGTGTAATTTTTACAGATGGGATTCATGAATGAATCTGGAAGTGATTCGAATAGCGATAAGGGTGAGAAGAGTGATTCTAGTGGATCAGGCTCCGGAAGTGAGAGGTAGGATTACTAATGCAATAAGTGCTATTCTATTCATGTAGCTTATTTGTTGTCTTTGCATAATCACCCACAAACTTTTTTGAACAGTGAAAGTGGATCTAGTTCATCTGGTTCTGGATCTGAAAGGTCCGGTTCTGAGAAATCCTTGGACAGGTCCCATCACAGTGATGACACAAAATCATCACCAAAGCACAGCAATGCCAACTCATCAAAATCTGATCACCATACTGACAAAAACACATCTGATGAAGATTCCCCATCTAAATCTAAATCCCGCAATAGCAAGTTAAAGTCAGATTTGTGGGAAGATAATCCAGACATATATGGAATCAGGAGGTCAGCTAGGTCGAGAAAGGAACCAGATAGACTAAAATTAGCTGATAGTGATTCAAGTGAAAGGGGCAGGACTCACAGTAGAAAAAGTAGAAAGAAAAGGTAGTAAACAGGTATATGAATAACATAGCTTTTTATCAACATGTTCTTCTTTTTAATAAACATACTATATTTTAGTGCATCATGGAATTCAGACTCGTCAGATAGTGATAGTGACTTGAAGGGTTCCCCACCTCCACCTTCAAAGAGACCAGGCCAAAGAAGTGTACCTCTCAGAAAAAGGAAACCAACACGGAGAAGATTTTCAAGTGATGAGGATGAAAGTTCTGAAGGCAGTGATGATGATACGAAAAGGTAAGAAATGTGTATCCCATAGGCGATCAGGTATTGTTTAAAAATTCTATGGGAAGTAATTGACTTTTTTTTTTTACTAAATTACAAGGGCCACGATTTTTAAGCAAGTTAAGAAAACATGCAATAGTTATGCAGAATAAAACACTTTTAAACAAATTAAATCACAACATGTTTTGTCCCATTATCATTACATAATTATGTTCTCTTCAACAAAATGTAGATTTTGTATATGATAAGTCATCATTTTCATTGAGTGTTTTGTTAGTGGTTCAACAAGAATCAGGTTTAATTTAGTATTTATTAGAATTCAGCCTTCTAAAATGTTTGTAATAGTATGGAACCTAAAATCCTATCTGGAGTGAACAGCCTTATCTCCTTTTACATGGGGCAACTAGTGTAAAATAAGTGCTACATAAAATAAATAAATGTGTAACAGCTTACCTTCTCACAAGAGAAAACGTCTAAGCATCTGGTTATTTT